GCTTCACGTCAGCTATGTGTTCTTTTACGCGGGTTCTAATTAATCTCTTTGTTTGCCCTATATATGAGAGACCACAATCACAATCAAGTTTGTACACTCCTGCATCTTGTAGAGGAATATGACACTTGACGGATGGTAGGAACTGACTAATCTTCTTCGGCGGCTTGTAGAATGTTCTAATAGAAGCTCGCTTCAAGATGTAGCCAATCTTGTCTGTGACACCTCTGACATACGGTAGTACAGCAGGCACACGCTCGACTGTGGCCGGCTTCACTCGGTCACTGTGACGTAGGCGCGGGACCCGAAGCTTGTTGTCGTGCAAAACCTGCTTGACGTGCTGAAGCTCGGCGGCCAGGTGTTTGCTGTCACAGATCCCTCGTGCTCTCTGAAACAAAGATTTGCCCACGGTAGCTAACTGTGAAGGATGGTGGTGAGATTCACCATTCAAGTATCGGTTTGTATGGGTCTTTTTTCTATACACAGTATGACCTATGGTGTTGTTAGGATTTCGGATGACTAACACATCTAGGAAAGCTAAGGAATTATTTGCCTCTAACTCCATAGTAAATTGAATTTTAGGGTTTATGGAATTAAGATGTTCTAAAAATGCAGTTACTTTGTCTGATGGTAAAATTGTGAAAGTATCGTCTACGTACCGCTTGTAGAACCTTGGGGTTACAGGTGCAGTAAGGAGGGCTTTCTCCTCAAAGTCTTCCATGAATATATCGGCGACAATGGGAGATACAGGTGAGCCCATCGCAACACCCAGCCTCCTTCAGGGTGGTAGTACCCAGCCTCCTTCTCTATTGAGAGAAGGAGGCTGGGTACTACCACCTGCTTGGGATCCTATAATTAATAAAATTAAAACTAAACCCAAGCATACCACTGCAAGACTTCAAAATACAGTTAGTTCATTCTGCGTAGATCGGACCAAAGACAATAATTTAAAAGCTGAAGGTACTCCGGGTTAACTTTGACATCGGGACGTCAGTCACCTCAGTCCCCCGTGACCATGGGTGCTGGAAAGCACCCGAAACGTCGGGTATTAAAATTAATATAAATAAAACGCGATAAAATCCGTAAAAGTAGTTTTAATCAATAGTTATAATTTCTTAAACCACTGTTTCTAATTGAATGAAATTTGTAATATACCATGTTTATAGAATGCCTACTCGGTTACTGAACATTCAAGCCTCTACTTTAATTGACTAGAAAGACCCGTAGAAATTTACAATATTTTTTTTTTTCGGCTGGGATTAATCCGAACAATTCCCCAGAGCACTCTCCATGGTATATAGGAAAGAAAATGCAAAGAGATGCAACATCTCTTCGCAGTGCCAGTGAATCGAGCCGATCGGAAAGCACTCGATCGTCGACGATTCGAGCCGCTCTGCGCTGGATGCGGTCAAGTGGAAGGAGCTGATACTGGGGAGCCCCAGCCCAGAGATGGGAACAGTATTCCATGTGCGGCCGAACCTGCGCCTTGTAAAGTTGCAGGCGGTGTGCCGGCATGAAATACAGTCCCGCTCTGCTGAGCACGCTAAGCTTTTTTTGAGCCCAATTTGGTCTTCTCTTCCAAGTGACCACGAAACTGCACGTCAGTCGATATGTCAACGCCGAGGATTCCGACACTGGCTGAGGCAACAAGGGGAGTGCCTTGAAACTGAGGAGATACGACAAAGGGGTTCTTTTGAGCGGTTAACGTGCAAACTTGTGTCTTCTGGGGGTTAAATTGGACTAGATTTAGTCGGTCCCAATCCGAAACTCTGTTCAGCAAGGACTCGACTTCAGACACAAGTTTGTCCCGGCACTCGGAGACGTTTTCCCGAGAAATATTGTCTTGGTCGGTGTAAAGAGCATTACCAGTGCTGTGATCTGCATAGCAATGAATGTTACAGGTTTGCAACATATCATTGATATGCAGAAGAAACAGCGTTGGCGATAGAACGCAGCCTTGTGGAACACCAGCATTAATAGGCTTGCAATCGAAGCTTGCGACGTCTACAATGACCTTGATGCTCCCATCTGCAAGAAAGCTGATGATCCAATCGTACAATTTCTCGGGAAGCCCATAGGAAGGGAGCTTCGAAAGAAGCGCTTTGTGCCAAACCCGATCGAAGGCCTTCGCCAATTCCAAACTAACGGCCAATGCTTCCCCCTTGGACTCTACTGCCTCCGCCCCTCCGCCCATCTGTGAGTTAGGTAGACCAGAAGATCACCAGCTGACCGACCACGGCGAAAACAGTATTGGCGGTCACTAATCAGCTGGTGATCCTCCAGGTACCTCATGAGCTAGCAGTTTACAATGGACTCCATTGTTTTGGAGAACAAGGAGGTGATGGCGATAGGCCGGTAGTTGGACGGGTCTGAGCGGTCGCCTTTTTTAGGGATCGGGTGGACGAAAGCCGTTTTCCATGATTTTGGGACTACGCCTAGGGAGTAGGAGCACCGGAAAACTCCCAGAGCCCACTCGACTTGTGGATGTCCAGGGAGAGGAGTGCTTTGCGAACCGAGCGCTGTGTGAACTGCACTTCCGGCATGGAGCACTCACACCGCGGGATGGTCGGCGGCGTACTCCCCCCGTCATCGAGAGTCGAGTTGGACGCAAAGAAAGAGCCCAGAAGATCGGTTTTCTCCTTTGGGGTATAGGCCAGTGAGTCGTCCTCCCTGTGCAGAGATGGAAGAGATGGCTGACAGAAATTTCCCTGGACAGCCTTGGCGAGAGACCAGAATGCACGAGTTCCAGAAGGAAGGCGAACTAGTTTCTCGCCAATTCTGCCTATGTGCTCTGACTTTGCCTTAGCAATGACTCTTCTGAAGGACCTAGAGGCGGAATTATACTTCTTTTTTTATAGCGCTTGTGTTTACATCCCGGAAAGCTGATGCGTCAGCCCAGGCTCGGTAGCATTCCTGCTTATAGCATGATGCTATTTTACAGGAGCGACCAAACCATGGCTGAGATTTGCCTCCAATGAGCACCACAGAGGAAGGAATAAAAAGTTCCATACCCTGAAGTACCACATCAGCGACAGAATCCGCAACAATGTTGGGATCATCCGGCGAGAAGCAAACCCGCCCCCAAGGGTAGGATGCAAAGAAAGACCGCATCCCATCCCAATCGGCTGACCTATAGTGCCAAACACGGTGGCAGCCTGCAGAATGCGACTGCGATTTCAGCGTGAGTGGCACCTCACTCCGGACAAGACAATGGTCCGAGGAGCCTAAAGGGGCTTCGACGGAAATCTGATATCCGTCCGGGTGAGAGGTCAGCAGAAGGTCCAACAGGGAAGGTGCATGATCCTCCACATCTGAAACCCGCGTAGGCGAAGTAACCAGTTGTGTCAGACCATATGCCAAGACAAAATCATGAACAGATCTCCCCGCATGATGGGTTAAACGTGAACCAAGCCATTCGGCGTGATGGGCGTTAAAGTCGCCGAGGATCACGGTCTCTGCGGAGGGGATCTGCTGTAGCAACGAATCTGTAGCCATTTGGACGTGGTCGAAGAGTCGGTCTGTTTCGGCATTACCGCTATGAGACCTATAGAGGCACCCGTGGACGCGCGGATGGACGTCGCTGTCTACGCGTAGCCACAGGATGAACAGGTACGAACCTTCAAGTCTGCAGAGGCGTCGAGAACAGATGTCCTTTCTGACGTAAACGCAAACTCCAGCCCGAGGCACAAAGAAGTGTTCCAGTTTGTACCCCGGGTAGGAGAGGTACGAGACATCAGCCTGAGAGGACACCTGCGTCTCGGTCAGAAAGAGCAGAGCCGGCCTCGCCGTCTCGAGATGGTAGTGGACGGCGTTTAGGGTAGAGTGAAGTCCCCTGATATTGCAGAAATTCACGGACAGCGTGGCAAGGGTCGCCTTAGTCTTGTTGCTCCGTTTGCCCCAAGCAGTTGTAGTCTTGAGCGGAATTTTGCCCCCCCTCCCCACAGAATACGCGGGGCAGCCTGAGCACCCACGCTCAGAAGTGGAGAAACATGGTCGTGGATGCTCAGCGAGGGATTCTCCAGGGGTGCTGGTACCCTCCTGGGGTAGTCTATCATTATTTAATTCCGCTACCATGTTGATGGGGGGGGGGGGGGATTTTTTAAATTTTTTTTTTATAGAATAGGCTGACAAAAAACGCTGATATTCTGAGAGCCTGGTCCTACCCTGGTCTAGCTGACTTGTTCGTGCTACAACCGAAATATGTCTATAGCATGGCTCTACCACGTATAAAACATCTGTATATAATCATCGGTTCATACGGTTTGAACATTAAATATTTCTGATTAGCCTTAAGATCTTCCGGTATTTGTCATCTCTTACGACACTCAGGAATGAGGTGGAGGGGATAGATTTCTCTGCATAACCCCCGAAATGAGATCGGGAGCGATCTTAGCATGCTATCGTTGGGTTTAAAGTTAGCCGTCAACAACCTAGGAATATATCTCAGTAATGCATGAGAAAAATGATACCACGAAGTATATAAGTATTGTGTATATGAGTGTAGTGGCGGGAACCCTGTAGTGGCGGTGTAAGAATATCCACTACCGCATATCGTCCCGTGGGTGTCGTAAGAGGCGACAGGTGGTAGCAAATCTGGAGATGGGCAGCAGCGTCTTCCTGATAGGGACTTAAAGTTAAAACTGTAGTTGCCAACCCGCTTGCCAAATACTACTACTACTATTGCAACTATGGCAAATATCCCCACTGTGAGACAATCTGTGGGGGAGGCCGGTGTTCAGCGGTGGACCTTATTTGGCTGTAACGGTAACGGAGTGTATGTGTGTGCATGTGCGTGTGCGTGCGTGCGTGCGTGCGTGTGCGAGCGTGCGTGCGAGCGTGCGTGCGTGCGTGAGTGCGTGCGTGCGTGCGTGCGTGCGTGCGTGCGTGCGTGCGTGTGTGTGTGCGTGTGCGTGTGCGTGTGTGTGTGCGTGTGTGTGTGTGTGTGTGTGTTATTCAAATTTCTTCACGACATTTATAGCCTGATGGTAAACTTCCTTCTCCAGAGCAATAGGCGGCCGAATCGAGAACTACATCTCATCTCTTCCTCCCTCGTTCCGGCTGCAAAGACCGATGATGGCGCGCGCTTCTAGCACAGAAGCTCGTGCAACGGTCAGGGCGCCATCGTTCAGCGTTTGCTGGAGCTGCACCTCCCCCGGTGAGTCTCTGGAACCGTTTTATTGTTACAGGACTGGCTACTGCCGCCCATGGACACCCGCAACCATCTTTAGAGAAAGCTACAGATGTGTTATCATCTCTGAGACTAAGATGAAATGCCTCTGTGCCTATAATTATAGCCTGCCCTGGCACCGTTTTTTTATTAGCACGGTGGCTACTGCAGCCCATGAACAACTGGAATAATCTTGAAACAGACAAGGATACAGGTGTGTTGTCACTATGAGACTTTAATGGAATGCCTATCTGTCTCTTTAGGCCAAAACACAGCAACGGGAAGTGGTACCTACCCAGAAGGATCCATAAGCGAAAAAAGCATCCGTATCGCCTAGGCCTTCTACACAATTTTTAATCTAAAGCATCTCTTCTTAACCTTTTACAATCGTAACTCTTTAAAACATCAGTGATGGTTAGCACTGACCCATTGAAAGCTGAAACCTGTAGAAATTCAGATGTGTTTTGGAGTAAAAATGTTTAGACAATAGTAGTTCGGAAAAGAGAGGTGCATTGTGCGAGGCGGCTGGCACTATTACGAGGGTGACTCTGAAAGTTCTTAGAAAATCAAAAACTGAACAAACTAGCAAGTTTTTACATTTATTCATCATATTAAATCTTTTCATAATAGAGTCCATTTACATCAATACATCGCTGCATCCGATGGAACCACTGAGAAAAGCACTTTGCCCACTCGGCTTCTTTAAAATATTTTCCTCGAAGTTTTTCTTTTATTTTCGGAAATAAATAAAAATCGCAAGGTAGAGGTCGGGGCTATAAGACGGGTGACCCAATAATTCCACGTCTACGTCGCCAAGTAGTCGATTGTTTGCTTGGCGATGTGCGAAGAGGCATTGTCCTGGAGAAGGAGGATCCTACTGCAAGGTCGTTTCTCACGAACTTTTTCCAAGACAAGTGGCAAACAATTGTTAGTGTTGAAATAATACTAGTTTATACGGAATTTATTGCGTATATTTAATTTTTAAATACCCGACGTTTCGAACGCTTTACAGCACTCATGGTCACGGGGGGGGACTGAGATGTTCAACGTCCATATGTCATAGTTAACCGCGGTTACCATAGATTAAAATTTAACTTTTGTTCCGATCTTTTAATCTATGATAATATCCGAAATTTTAATCTATGATAACCGCGGTTAACTATGACATCTTATGGACGTTGAACATCTCAGTCCCGCCCGTGACCTGTAAAGCGTTCGAAACGTCGGGTATTTAAAAAGTTAAATATACGCGATAAATTCCGTAAAAACTAGTATTATTTCAATGTATAGTGTTCTCGTAAATATAATAAATAATTGTTAGTGTACCACTCTGCAGTAACTATTTTTCGATCGCCTAAAACAATTGTTGCGTAATGACCTGTCTTTCCGAAGAACGAAGCCACTATATTTTTACCCACGATTCGACCTCTCTTCACTTTAGTTGGCAACTCCTCGGAAGGAAACACCCAGACATCAGACTGTCTCTTAGTTTCATGATGATAACAATAAATCCAGATTTCGTCACCCGTAAGTATGTCGAACACGGGGCATTTGAGTCACCTCTGTTAAATCTTTGAACCATTTCACGACACCAATCAACACGACGGAGTTTTTGGGCCTCTGTCAAATTATGAGGTATCCACCAGGCAGAAAGCTTCCTGACCGCTAAATGTTCATGGAGGATTCGTACACTAAGCTTGTCCGAATCTGCTGATAAGTCACTCTTTTGTCAGTCTCTATCATACGCCACACAACACTCATGGAAGGCCGTCCCTCATGCAGATTATCGGTGAGATTAGTGCGTCCACGTTTAAACTCATTAAACCAGTGGCAAGAGATGGGGCTTCATCGTGAAAGGGCAATCGAAGTCTCGAAATAACGAAGTCCAGTAAAAGAGGTTTGGCTCCTTAAGCACAAACATCGACCGAAGTCGCGCATGTCAATGCCTGTAACCGCCATACAAAATACGAACGAATCCAGCCACAGCGAATGTACGTCACACGGTTTAGGCAAATAGGCACACTGGCCGTAAACCCTCTGTGAGCACCACCACCTGCTAGGTCGCCGCTCCTGCAGACGTGATATAAGTGTATGGCATCACCACCAATTGCATGATCAGCACGGCTACTAGCCGCAGAGCATGTCATGAGTCTACCGCTCACCTTAAGGGAATGGGGTCCCACGTTTCCGTGTCACGGGTCCGTGAATGCGACTGTCGATTTCAGCGCATTTTATATCGTTTTGACCCAGAGGAACCTCTAATGATGTTTGAATTTAATCGCGTTTGTTTTGGTTTAAAGTCGAGCTCATTTCATGCGCTACGCACGGTGAAACAGCTCACCGCTGATGAGGGTCCCCTTTATCCTAAAGCTAAGAGGGCAATTGAGAGTGGTTTATATATATGGATGATTTTGTGTACTCGGTAAGCCATCACCACCGCCGAGGTTATAAAGCTCATGAAATCGAGACAATTCGATCTCGTCAAGTGGACTAGTGATTCGCGTACGGTTTTGGATACAATCCCACTATCACACCGCCTTTCGGCGATAAAGGAATTCGACGATTCTGATACGCACAAGGTGCTCGGTTTGGGTTGGTCACCGGAGTCCGACGTGTTTAGCGTTAAGGTAAACCCGCCCGCAGAAACGTGCACAAAGCGCACAATGCTGTCATGCGTTGCTAGATTATAGGATGTCAAGGGTTTCGTAGCCCCGGTGGTGCTATACGCTAAGCTTTTGTTTAAACAACTTTGGTTATGTGAATGCGATTGGGATGACCCGCAGCCTGATAGCATTGTTCGTTCGTGGCTACGTTTTAGAGAGGAACTTCCTTTACTAAGCGAAATTAAAATACCACGTCATATAAACGTCGATAGAAATTGCGTCATCACTGTCGTTGGGTTTGCAGACGCTAGCGAGAAGGCTTACGGGGCGTTGTATATTTTCACGTCCAGAATAATGGTAGAAATTCGATCAGCCTTATTAGCTCTAAGTCAAGGGTCTCCCCCCGTAACGTTGTCTCTCTCGCGCGCTTAGAGCTTCGCGCGATTTTAGTCCTTGCCAAGCTTATCACCGCAGTTACCAGTGCATGTAGTGATAGAGTTCACATAGAAAGAATATTTTCTGACTCAACCGTCGCTTTATGTAGGGTTCATTCTTCACCCCACAGCTGGGATACGTTTGTCGCGAACCGAGTGGCCAAGATCCAAGACGAGTTAGGATCACGGAACTTTTATCACGTGTCCGGTACGCAAAACCCGATTGTCTATCCCGTGGACTCACCCCGATGCAGATATATTATTATGTTGTTATATAAAACATCATGCAGGTCAGACAATCTGCAGCCCCGTAATGAAGGTACTCGACTTAGACAAAGCTACTTAGGTGTGAGTCAAACCAAGACGCAGAGAGCGCCATTGCGAATAGCGTCCCACCAAACAACCATCGCGGAGACGCAATGCTGCAGAACGCAACAAGCATCAATACGACTATCAGCTTACACCATCCCATGGTCCTCCATAGATCCCAGCAGACATCACCACCCGCATACCTCCATCGACCAGAACCACAAGAGTGTGTCGAATCAGGCGCAGCACACCCGCAGATCCATCACAAGACGCAATACCGCAAGTAGCAGTAAGCATCAATGCAACTATCATACGGATGGCGCACCCTCACAACAAACCCACATGATACCTATCGACTTTGTTGACAAAGTTTGTATTGTTGTTAACTAAAAAAAATATAACCAACGTATAATAGTAGCACGCTACTAAGACGCCAGTGAACAAAACTCCACGTATCATAGCGCTAATGCACTAAGACATGAAGTTGAATAGGCCTGTTACACTTAAAAGTGCTACCAAACACACTCATCCCAATCCGAAAGATAGAAGACACATCGCTATGCGCTTCGACGCCGCCCACAAACGGTATGGGTGTGCGATGGCCACGGGAAAGCCGTATTGCTACAACAAACCCGCTTACCACCGGCACTTAGATGATAAGTCTAGGACACATCGGTTAGCGAGTCCAAGTTTACCTCGGACCAATTGCTCGTGAAGCAGCATACACGCCACCATAATAATCCTTTTAAAGTCACTTATATAGGACTAGTCATTTTGCTACAGTACTAAGAGCAGTCGATCACCACCCGACCACCCCTTATAATGCTTACGCATCTAGGAGACCTACTATAGCAGTGCTTTTGTATCATAGACCTTACTATTATATGTCTTGAATATATAGGACTTCATCCCCACAACTCTACTATTGTAATTGGTTAGGCGGAAATGATTTGTGTATTTTTAATTTTGTTCGAAGGTATATTGTTCGCCAAGTGTTTCTCCTTCCTATAACCTCATATCCCTTCCGTACACACTGAAGGGGGTACCGTGTCTAAAAGGTGACGGAATTCTTTCGACCAATAAAACGCGCGCCCCACCGAGATGAATTGGTAAGAAAGCCAAGCCAATAAGGTTTGCGTGCTGTCCTCGAGCGTACTCTTGCCGCGCACCGCTAGTTTCGATCGCACCACCTGGGACAGTCGCGCCCCAGAAGTAACCGCCTCACATAGTGTGACATATCGTCGCGCACCGCTCTTGCTTCGCACCGCTAGCCTAGATCGCATCTCTGGGGCGTCCCAGAAGAAACCACCTCACGTCACGCCAACTCCTCTTTCAACACATCACCGGAACAGAAACGTCGTCCGCAGCATCAGAATCACACCCCGGTAAGTGTATTTCCCGTAATTTTACTACTTGAGCCTTTTGTTTGTTAGCTAATCCGCCCCCATTTTTTTATCTCCTTATCGGCTCAAGTAGAACTCCCTCCTAACCTTGGCGAAGCAATAGATTTGGAAGAGCGAGTGCATTGTCCAAGGTTGTCGCGTGCCACGTCCGCCATCTTGTTGAGTCATAAGAAGCCAACCGCGTATACAGTCCACCTAGTATAACATCTCGCACAATAGGGTCAAGGCTCGACCTGGGAATCGAACTCGGGAATCCCTAGGCCCGTCGCTCAACCAGTAATGCTAATTCATCATAGAGACCTTCTATAGTATTGCTTTTGTATCATAGACCTTAGTTAAATATAGGACTTATTCACTCTAAGTAATGTAATTCATCGTAGGACTGTGTTCTGTCTTTAATATATAGGACTTCATCCCCACAACTCTACTATTGTAATGCTAATTCAGCATAGTGACATTCTATGGTATTGCTTTTGTATCATAGGCCTTACTATTATATGTCTTTAATATATGGGACTTCAACCGATAACTCTAGTATCATAATGCTTATGCATCACGGAGACCTTCTATAATAATGCTTTTGTATAATAGAGCTTCATTTTGCCACAGTACTTCAAGCATTCGGGCACCCGACTACCTCATATATATGTACATTGGTTATGTGTCTCCGGCAGCTCCTCCATACAAGCCATCTTATACACGAACACTTTCCATGACTTGGAAAATTTTCTTTTATACACGAACTCCTTCCAAGATCTAGACAATTTTTAACAAATGTTATAATTATCTTATAAATGTTATTTATCTTTATTTTTATAATAATTTCAACTTGTATATCTATTATTTATCATATTTTAAATATTTTTACAAGTGTTTTTAATAAATTTATTCATTCTGAAAGACACATTTGCCTTAAATTTACTTAATACTTAATGTCTGAAATATATTTATTTTTAACTTTATGCTTATTAATGTATTTTTATTGCTTAATATACTTATATCTTTTAAGACTATTTTTTGATGCCCCCTAATAGAAATTGATTATTAATTATAATTAATAATAATGATGGACCGTCCCAATACATATAAATAAAATTAAAGTGGCTGCTTTTAAATTATATGTTTGTCTATCTGTCCGAGCTATTCTTCGGAATGGTTGTAAAGGTCGTAATTAAACTTTACCGACAAATCTAGCTATATTTTATCCGAAAAACTTGAATATTTTTTGATCGAATAAGTTATAATATAAATGGTCTTTGATTACCTTAAATAAATATTGCAACATTAGTAGATCCTATCCAGGCATCGCCAGGACAGGTCGCTAATTTGGTACAATATCGTTTACTTTATCAAATTTAAGCTACGATCGTCCTGTAGTGTCTTAAAAGGCTACCAATAAATAAATATAGTAGGTACTGAGATGAAGTTTTTTTTACACAAAGTCAAGTTGTGAAGTTAGGTTCAAATAAAAGTTAATCATTTTCTACAGTATGATTTGCTCTTTAATTTTGCACATTTTAACTCTTTTTTTAATTTACTCTACTTTTGTAAATTTTTGTTGTTTGGTTTATTTATTTTTAATGTAATTAATAACTAATAGTACAAAATGAAACATTAACCTTTACATTTTTTGAACAAATTAACTTGCCCGCTATGAAATCATTCAAATATTACACCTCATTTGTAAGTAGCGCCGCCCTGTTGGCAGAAAAAGTGGATCGTGGATGCCCTCATCACCCAGACCGTTTCTCACTCTTGTCTGTAAGTATTCCGGCTCTATTACGCTTACCGCCTAACTCCTCGGAAAAATGCAGTCCTATCCAGATAAACACTTTGGCGAAGTTTATCATGACACTATTTTGAAATAATTATTGTTAAAATGTCAAGATTTACCTTACAGAGGTTTTTTTTACAATATTTTATTGAGTACTGGCTGGCACCCGGAGCGTTTCCACCGCCGAAGTAATAATTGTGGTAATGTAGACTTGAATGTAGATGAGTTATTGTTGGTATATTGTTGTTAGTATATAGTAGTAGTATATTGTTTTATTAGTAATAACAATACACTAATTGAAGTTGAATGATACGTCACTTTCAAACAAATTTGTTGGTACCACACGCGCGCCACCTACTGTTAGTTAATTGTACTATGTCTATAACCTTCGCGCAAGTGCAAGCGATAAGTTGACAAAGTTTTAGCGCAATCTGTGGGTGCGGTGGGGCAGCGTATAAAATACTAAAAGTCAAACACTAATCGAATAAAACTCTATTTACGGATTTTCTTGCGTATAATTAACTATTTAACTTATTTTTAATTCCCGACATTTCGGGTGCTTTACAGCACCCGTGGTCCTGAGGGGGGTGGGGACTGAGATGTTTAACGTCTCAATGTCATAGTTAGCCCCGGCTACCTTCAGTTTTTGGATATAATTTTTTTAAGAAATTTTTAGAAATTATCAATCAAACAAACGTTAATTTTTATTTATGACTAGCGTTTTACCCACGGCCTCGCTCGCATTGGCTTTAATTTACGAACAACATTGATAACTACTCCATGCGAAAATTATCAAAATTGGAGTCTCTGTTAAACGAGGGAGACTCATTAAAGAAGTGGACTTTATGGCCTGTGAAGGGTGTGCCTAGTACCTTGTAACAACCTCTACACCGGATTTTAGGTACGGAGGTCAGACTCAACGTTGACTAGCTATCTACGCGAGAGTAAAGTGCACAAGTGTATGCGCTAGCACAGGTGCACTCTATTTCCACACTCTCATTGTCCAATGGGTCGACAATCTGATCGACTGGAGAGGAATCGGGCACAGGACTAATAGCTTTACGTGCTTTCCAAGGCACGGGTGTGAAACACCGCTATCTTCCTGAGTTCAAGCTGTTATTGAAAATTTCTTGACAGAAAACTAGATTCAATCCTGGGACCAACACGTGTTAAACAGTTGCGCTCACGACCACCGCACCGAAGATGCAGCTCTATGCCTAATAGTATGTCGGTAAATAGGTTGGTTTTAACTGATTATGTTCTCGAACAAAAGGACATACAACTCTAGGTTAGGAAAGTCTAATCTTTGATAATAAGGCGACGGTACGTGCGTCACTTTCAACAGGATATTTTACCGTAACGATTATACACTCCGTATTTTTCCTATAACCATACCAATGATATGTTACAAACCTGCAACATTCATTGCTAGCAGCCTCATAGTGCCATATTTGTTGTCGTTGCCACGCTTGCTAGACTTTTAGCAGTTGTATTTGTTTAATGATATCTTAAATTTACGCCAACACTACACCTTGAATAAAACTATATTTTCGGATTTTATCGCATTTAATTAACTACTTTAACTTCTTTTAAATTCCAAAATTTTCTGGTGCTTTAGAGCACCCATTCAGAGTGGGACTGAGATGTTTGACGTCCCAATCAAGTCTTCCCAAGTTAGCCTGGCTACCTTCAGTTTTTTATATTAATTTTCGGTCCGATTTACGCAAAACGAGCTTACAGTATCTTGAAGTCTTGCAAGGGTGTGCTTGGGTTTGGATTTAATTTTGTTAATTATAGGATCCCAAGCAGATGGCAGCACCACAAAAAACTTCCTTTGAACATGTTCAAAATCGTCCCCACCATTCATCAGATTTGACAAACTACAAATCCTCGCAAAAGAACACCAATTCCTACCAAGGTTGATACACGAGGCTATTTAAAATTAAAAAACATCCTAATTTCACAACAGAAGATGGATGGGTAGTAAGTAGTTAAATAAACGCGATAAAACCCGTAAATATAGTTTTATTCAAGTTGTATTTGTTTATTATTACTTTCAAGCTGTTATCTGGAAGAACCCGATGCCCGTCTTCTGTTTGAGTGTACCTCTGTCGCCTCTTACGACACCCACGAGATGAAATCATCATCAGTCATCTCTCTACACGGCACTCATCTCATCTCATTATCAAAATGCTCTAGATAAAAATTACGAGATTTTATTTAAAATTTGCAAAATTATTCCCACAGACATGTAAGTAAAATCTGATAGATTTTACTTCATATTAGAACAGCAGGGTATAGTAACTTTTAAGAAACGTAAGACGTATAATGCCGAAGCGCCAAATCACACAAAGGAGAAAATATCTCATATCTAGGATTAAAAATTACTTTGGGCGGCGTACAAGGTAATACAAATATAGTAGAGGGGGCAAATGAGCATACGGTTCACTTGATGTTTAGTGACTACCACCGCCCATGAACATCCGCAACACCAGGGGAATTGCAGGAGCGTTGTCGGCCCTTTAGAAAGGAGTAAGCTCTTTTCTTGAAGGTCCCCAGGTCGAATCGGTCTGGAAAAATCGCCGGTGGTAAACTATTCCACAGAGGTCGTACCGGAAGAAAACTCCTAGTAAAACGTACAGTGTTGGACCGCCAAGCATCCAGATGGTGTGGATGGTATCGAGAGGTTTGCCGCGTAGTGCGTTCATGAAATTTGGCGGCTGGGATTAATCCGAACAATTCCTCAGAGCACTCCGTGATAGATGCGATAAAATACTCAAAAAAGATGCAACATCTCTTCGCAGCGCCGGTGAATCAAGCCAATCGGAAAGCACTCGTTCATCGACGTATTACGTACAATGACTGAGATAGACTTAAAATATTGTACATTTTTGACATTGTAATAGGTGTCATCGGGCTTAAAATGGTGGGTTTTCTATTAAGAAATTCTCAGTAGCAGCCCGGACTCAAGAGTTTAGCCGTGTTTCATCCCTAGCCCTCAAAAAGCACGTAACTTAACGTAATTTAACTGTATCTGATCTTACTATATTTTCTGTCTTCTATGGGATAGTCAACCAGCCCTAGTTCTGTAGTGGACTGTAATGAATTAATAATGAAACTGGAGATGTGACTCTAACGATCTATGACCAGGTGGCAGAGATAGTGAACGCGACCACGGGCAAGCTGGAGAATGGTCAGCCGTCGCTGCTGTGCAAGCGGATCATGTTTGCGAGGTGGCAGTACTTGGTAACCAGACTCCCACTATTACCTCAGGTATTTATTTTCAGATTTTTTATTTTTTTTTGAAGGTTTTTACCCGACTGTCCCAGATGGAGGGTAATGGTTATACCCGAGTGCTCCAGAAGGAGCGTAATGTCTATACTTGAGAGTCCCAGAAGGAGCGTAATGTCTTTACACGAGTGCCCCAAAAGAAGGAATGTACATTTTAGTCATAAAAGTATCGGGAATGGATGATTTGTTTATGGTACCAAATTTTTTTGTTGCTGTTAGCTTGGCACATTTGTTTTCCATTTCGGTGCGGAGTTTAAGTTACATATGTTATTTAGATTAATGTATTTAATGTGTGCTGTTTTTAGTTATATTAAATCTAGTGTAGTGTAGTGTTGCCGTGTAGTGGCGGTTGAGAATATCCACTACCCCATATCTTCCCGTGGGTGTCGTAAGAGACGACAGGGGGGATACAGGCAGGAGATGGACAGCAGCATCTTCCTGATAACGGCAATGATATAATAAAAAACTGCGGTTGCCAACCCGCTCGCCAAGCATGGCAACTATGGCAAATATCCCCCGATGAGTAACGACGCAAACAAACTGCCCCCATTCCCCGGCAGCCCCACTATTCCTGGCTACGGTGGCGACCATGGTAACGGCGGGGCAGGGGGTGCTAAGAATCTCCGTTGGAGGTTCGGTTGCCACCTACGACGACTCGACCTGGTAACATATAACGCACGCACCCTGAGGCCTGACGAGAAGATACTGGAGTTGGAAGAAGAGGTAGACAAGTTGCGCTGGCATATTATTGGGTTATCCGAGATCCGAAGAGAGGGGGAGGAACACGGTAATCCTCGGGTCCGGCAACTTGTTCTATCACTAGGAGGGCGACCATCTGTCCCAAGGAGGTGTCGGATTTATCGTCCACAAGTCTCTCGTCAACAACGTTGTAAAGATTGGGAGTGTATCGACGAGGGTCGCGTACCTGATACTCAGAATCACCAAACGGTATTCGCTGAAGGTCATACAGGTTTACGCATTAACATCGGCGCATCCCGATGAGGAGGTGGAGGAAATGTATGAGGATATTTCTAGAGCCATGCATTCCTCCAAAACCTACTACACGGTGTTGATAGGAGACTTCAACGCAAAACTAGGCACAAGAGAAAGCGGTGAGCTGAAGTTAGGGAAATTTAGAGTAGGGCAACGGAAACGTAGGGGCCAGCACCTGGCCGACGTCATGGAGAAAGAGGGACTCTTTATGATGAACTCTTTCTTCCAGAAGCGTCCCGTCCCCACAGTAAGTGGACCTGGTCGAGCCCTACGGTTCGACAAAAAATGAGATTGACTTCCTTATGACGACCAGACGCCAACTGTTCAGTGATGTCTCAGTGATCGCAAGGGTGAAAACTGGCAGCGATCACCGAATGGTTAGAGGCACACTGAACCTATGAACCTAAACGTTAAGTTGGAGAGGTCTCGTCTAATGAAGTCAACGCTCCGTCCCCCCTCGTGCTCTAATCCAGAATCCCGAAACCTTTCAGCTCGAGTTACGTAACCGCTTTCAGTGCCTAGAAGATTGCAATGCAGTGGACGATATGAATGACAAGCTCGTGGAAACTGTCCATGCGGTTGGAGCTAAGTTCTGCAAGACCGGCCGCAGAAGAACACAAAAGCTCTCCGATCACACTCTTAATCTCACGGCTGTTAGACTAGAGATGAGGCTGCAATCGTCAACAGATTTGACAGCATACAGGCAACTGAACAGACAGATCTCCAAATGCATGCGGCGAGACTTACGCAACTTTAATACTGCTCGTATTAAAGAAGCGATAGAGCGGAACCAGGGCTCCAAAGTCTTTGCCAGAGATCTGTCTGCCAGTAAGTGCCAACTGTCAAAGCTGAAGACTGAGTGTGGCAGCATCGTCTCCGGGACACCTGAGATTCTGAGTGAGATTGAGAGGTTCTATGGCCAGTTGTACACATCGTCGTTGGAGCCACAAGTGTGAGTAATGATCCAAGAGTGGGTCTTATCCGACACTATTCCGATGATATCCTGGACATCAGTCGTAAAAACGGCAAGTCCCCGGGCGAGGATGGAATTACAGCGGAGCTTCTGAAAGCGGGTGGAAAACCGGTACTTGAAGTCCTTCAGAGGCTCTTTAATTCCGTCCTCCATGGTGGCAATACTCCGGAGGCGTGGAGCAGAAGTGCGGTGGTCTTGTTCTTTAGGAAAGGTGGCAACGCCCTCTTAAAGAACGACAGTCCGATATCCCTTCTGAGCCGCGTCTACGTGCTGTTTTCGAGAGTCATTACGAATCTTCTCGCACGCAGACTCGACGACTTCCAGCCTCCCGAACAAGCCGGTTTCCGAAAATGCTTTAGTACCTAGACCACACATACATACCCTTCGTCAAATTGTACAGAAGTCCGAAGAGTACAATCTGCTGCTTTGCCTGGCGTATGTGGACTATGAGAAAGGCTTTGATTCCGTCGAAATTTGGGCGGTGCTACAGTCTCTTCAGCGGTGCCAAGTCAACTGTCGGTATATCGAAGTGCTGAAGTGTTTGTACAGTAGGGCTACGATGGCTATCCAAGTACAGAACCAGAGTTCGAAACCTATCCAACTGCAGAGAGATGTAAGACAGCGTGACTTTATATCTTCGAAACTCTTCACCGCTGCATTGGAAGACGTTTTCAAGCTACTGAACTGGAAAGGATACGGTATTAACATCAATGGCGAGTACATCACTCACCTTCGATTTGCCGACGATATAGTCCTTATGGCAGAATCGCTGGAGGACCTTAGCACTATGCTCAATGACCTCAAGGGTGTCTCCCAACGGATAGGTCTTAAGATGAACATGGACAAAACAAAGAGCATGTTTAATGTCCGTGTCACACCTATGCCGGTAGTTGTTGGGAGCACTAAGCTCGAAGTTGTTGACGAGTACGTTTACCTGGGACAAATAGTCCGGCTAGGTAAGTCCTAGAGTATGATCTAGAAGTTTTGTCGTAAATGGAAGAGTATGCGATGAATGGGCCGGCCATACAGCTCGAAGAACCGATAACCGTTGGGGAAAAAGGTTCTCGAGTGGCAGCCTCGTACTTGTAGGCGAAGTGTAGGGCGACCCCCCACTAGATGGAGTAACGACCTGGTAAGACATGCAGGAAGTCGATGGATGCAGGTGGCTCAGGACCGTGCTTTGGAGCTAAGTTAAGCGGAGCTAAGCTAGGCATACCTTGGGGGGCCTATGTTCAGCAGTGGACTTGTAAAGGTCTGTAATGATGATGATGATGATGAATTCTAGTGTATATTGCGAATTTCACAACGGACAAAAACATCGGACAAAGAGTTCGTCTTAAATTTTACATCGCCAATAAAATTTCGTGTTCGAAGTCACTGAAAATGTTACATAACCCCTCTAACGTCCGGGTAACCATAGTCGCCTAAAACTTTTTCCAGTTGAACGTTAGGGCGACTAGAGCGGCCTCTCTGACTTCTAAACTTTAGACGACTTTTGATCTATAGAATGTTACAAAAAGCTTTATGAATGAAGCTAGATGGCTCTATATTAAAAAACGCGTCTATGGGTTAGTAAAAGGTCTCCGTAACAGATAGAAAAAAAAGAATCAAGCGTTGTGTCAAGTTTTTTGTAGTGGCCGGTGTTACTGTGAGTTCTTCATTTAAAATTTAAGTAATAATATATTTATTATACTTTTATACTAGTGTTATATGTGAAAATAATACTCAGGATGTTTTCTTTTCGTATATCTTCAAGTTTTATAATCCAAAGTCTATTATGATGTTTTTATATGTGGTAAAGTCGACATGTGATAACTTCGCCTTTGTGTGTCGGTCTTTCGTTAAGTTCTTGTATTGTATATTTTTTATTTTAATTAAATATTTCCTATAATTAGTAAAACTGGTTATTAACTACATTTAAATACACTTAAGTGAAAGGAAAATAGTGAAGGTAGTAAGGATTTTACGTTTTTGTATTTTGTTCCCCAGGTTTAATGAACGGGTGACTACAGCCGCCCGTAACATTTATGATATGGGTTCGTACAAACGAGAAATTACCGAGTGTATTTAACATGATTTTTCGTAACTGCTTTTTTATTTTATTTGGCACTGCACCTTTTTCACATATAAATGGCTGTTGTTTTATTGCTTTATAGTTATAGTTATAAACAATATGTGGCTGCTTTTTTATTTTATTTGGCACTGCATCATTATACAACATTACAGAAACTCCGGCGATAGGATCAGTATCGGGGATATATTCCGAAACAATTATTTTTGGGATCCGACATCTTTTTTTAATTTTTGGAAAAAATTTCGCTAATTAATTTGAAATAGCGTTGTATATAATACATAATTGTGGTTGTGTTTTATATGTATAATTTTATGATATTTCTCTTTTCATTCAACGGTTATGTTAAAACATTAAGAAAATAATGGGTTTTATTTTATGATATTACTCATTACATTTAACGGTTTTGGTAAAAGTTTTTAATTTATATATATATGTATTTAAATTAATTAATTTTTATACATATAATTTTAATCTAAATGTTTAAAAATAAGAAAGAAAAAAAAGTAAGTGTTTCATTTACATATTTTAATATTTATATTTAAGAAAAATAAAGTTGTTGTAAACATATTTTTTAATTATATTTTATATATACCAATGCTCAAATAATCGTGTAAACGGACCTTATAGCGGGCGGCCATCTTGCCACATTTTATAGCCGCCCGGGAGATCAACTCTAGAACGGTGTATGTCGATATTTTAGGTATTCTTGTCTTAAAATACTTAACATTCATATAACGTTATTGGCATTATTAGATAGGGTAGATCATGTATTTTAATAATTGTACAATAAGTATATATAAATAAAATGATACTGCGATATTAAACGAAGAAAATAAAACATGTTAGAGTTTTACATCCAAATTTCTAAAATTAATCATTTTTTTACCTGTTGTACGTCAATTGAGTAAATTATTATTATCATAATTAAATTCTGCATTTCATTACCTTTTTTGTGGGTGATTTTTATTCTGATATAGGTAAAGAACTTTCTCCATGGTAACCGTTAGTCGAACTGGTCGCAATCCGACCGTATAAAAACATCAACGACCGGGGCCGGGACGTTCAAGGGTATTGTTGCCGCATCGCTTGGACGTTCAAGTGGATAAGGCTTACGGTGAATCGACTTTATCAAAAACATGTGCATATGAGTGGTGCAGAGCGTTCAAATATGGTCGAGATGTGATGGAAGATTTGTCTCGCTCTGGTAGGCCATCAACGCCTGCAACTGAAGCTAACATTGCAAAAGTGAAGGAAGCAGTGACTGAAAATCCTCATTCAGATTTGAGAGGGATAGCCGCCGAAACTTCTGAGTCTCACGAGTCGATCCGTAACATTTTAAATAATCACTTGGGTATGAAACATGTTGCCGCTCGGCTAAATCTAAAAGATCTGAATTTTCGAACGAATTTTTGACCGAAAACTCAACAAATACCATGGAGCAACCACCTTATTCACCAGATATGGCTCCAGCCGACTTCTTTCTTTTTCCTAAACTCAAATTATCGCTTCGTCGCACCCGTTTTAATTCGGTGGAAGACATAAAGGGGAATTCTCGGCGTGAATCTCCGGAAAAAGCGTTTAAAAATGTTTTGATTTTTGAATTATTCGTTGGCGAAGGAGCATACTTTGAAGGTGATAAAATAAACTTAGATAAATAACTAACATTTTGTGTATTATTGATACTTTTCCAGGTACTTTCTTGACAGATTAGTATGTCTATTTATTTAGCACGCTCTGCAGCGTAAATGGCTTAATGGATTTTAACATATGGAGAATCGTTAGCTTCGTCTTAATAGTTGGAAATTTTTCCCTTTTAGTAAACTATTTACGCAGTCGAGTTTTTTAATTAGTGTTATAACTTATAAGCTTGTTTTCTGAAGTAGCTATGGAACGGTCACATAGACCGATAAATCGACTGAGGAAGAGGCTCTCAAGTGACAAGCTCGTATTGGTAAGCAACCCCACTAGTTGGAATGAGACCTGGTAAAAAATTAGTGAAGTCGATGGATGCATGTGGCTTAGGACCGTGTTTTGTGTCATTAATTGTGGAGGAATATGTTCAAGAGTGGACTTGTGAAAGGCTATAATGATGATGATTTTTTTTTAATATGAAGTGAGTGTAGCAACGGAACGGGGTAAGCACGTATTGGGGCAGCGCGGCTTACTCGTTATTGTCCAAAAATCCTCTCACAGATAAGAGAAGGCAATTACACAGTTTTTTTTTTAAGTGCGAGCAGCTATGCAGGTCTAGGGAAAGAGACCAGTATCACTGCGACCTAGGAGATCTATTGTGATCGCTGCTATGGCTATAGTTCACGGCTAAGCCCTATGTCTTCAATGAATAGAAGGAGTTGCTTAGCCGTGAGCAATTTCACTTCATCTGGGCGAGTAGATAGTGTCCCACATGAGTGTTACGTTTGCGCATTAAGGGTCCGCAATCAGTTAGGATGTGTAGAGGTGTTTCTTCTGTTATGGAACAGAACCGACACATCCTTGAGTTGCTTAGTCCCAGGATGGACATGTGCTATTTAAGACAACAGTGTCCAGTTAGGGCTCTTGCCAGAATGCGCAATTTATTTTTACTTAATTCCAGGGCTTCTGAAGCGAATTTACGATCATTAGCCCGGATTAAGGTTTTAGAATGTTTTAAGCCTGGTGTGTCAGACCAGATCTTAAGTGATCTATTGTGATAAAGAGTTTCAAGGGTTAGTCGGGCTAGGCTTCTTGGGATTCCACAAAATGGCTCAGGTCCAAATTGTGTGCACTTTGAGCCCTCCCGTGCAAGTTTGTCGACAATTTCGTTGCCTACAATACCCTTGTGGCCCGGAACCCATCTTAAAACGACCCTGTTGTTACATCCCAGGGCGTTTAAATGGTTCATGCAGTCTCCAACTAGCTTCGAATTCACTAAGTTTGACCTCAGCGCTAGCAGTCCCGCTTGACTATCAGAGTTTATGTAGATATGATTGACGTAGTGTTTTTGCAGATTGATTTCCGCACACCGAAGTATGGCGAAAATTTCTGCCTGGAAGATAGAGGTGTATCTACCCAAATTCATACTAAGTTTGAATTTGGGGCGTTTCCCGTAAATTCCAAAGCCTACGTCAAGGCCCATTTTTGACCCATCGGTATACCATATGAGGCTACCGACCTCACAGATAACCTGGCCATTCAGCCAGTCTTCTCTGTAGGGTAATTCTACTATATTATTTTTATCAAAAGTGTGTAGTGGACGCATGATATCTGAGATCATGCATAAGATCGGTGATTCCTTAATTGAGTCGAGCATGGATCTCAATCTGTAGGAGAGCAAGCTCAGACCGCCTTGGGCGTTAATCCTATATAAACTCGCCCTCGCCTCCTTGTCTAGATAGAGATCGAGGGACGTTAGGAATAGAAGTGCATTAAGAGCCGCTTCAGGCGATGATGTCATAGCTCCAGTTGCCATTAGGCAGGCAGTCCTTTGTAGACTATTAAGTCTGTCCGCAGTCGTCTTTTGGTTGGCCTTGTTACTCCAGACAATAGAGGCGTAGGTGAGAATCGGCCTCACTATGCTGCTGCACAGCCATAGGACCATACTGGGACGCAAGCCCCAGTTGTTCCCCGATCAAACGACTGCACGTACCTAAAGCAATTTTTTGCCTTATGGCATACATTGCTAAGGTGAGAGTTCCACGTTAGTTTTTGGTCGATTGTTACGCCCAAGTACTTAACTTCCGTGGTAAATCGGTACTTCCTTACCATTAAGTTTTGGTTGGACTAACTTGTCCAACCGTCTTTTTTGGTAAAGGGTATTATAACAGTTTTATCAGCATTAACTGATAAACTGTATCCCTACACCAGTTATTTATGGTGTTTAGGGCTCTTTGTATTATTGACGATAAAGTACTTTGGCATAAGCCCCTCACAATGATCACAAGGTCATCAGCGTAACCCAGTGTGTCAATGCGTAGGTCTGTCATTTTGTACAATAGTCAACCGCAAGATTCCAAAGAAGGGGTGACAAAACACCTCCTTGTGGGCATCCTCTTGTAGTTGCAACCTCAATCGAAGTTTGAAACAACGCTATTTTTGCCTTTCTGTTTGAGAGCATCGACTTCACCCATCTGATGGTTGTGGGGTCAACATTTTTAGATGTCAGTCCTCCAATCAGCAGTGATGTGGGGCTACTGTCGAAGGCGCCCTCAATATCTAGAACCTGTCAATAACACTGATCAGGGATGTTTCCGTAGATTTGCCTCTGCGGTAAGCATGCTTGTTGTAATGTATGGGCCTCGTAGCTAGAGCTACATCCCTTATATATCTATCTATAACCTTTACCAATGTCTTAAAGTACACAGTTGGTGGCGGTAGGGGTTTATAAATAGAAAACGTACTGCGCAGAATTTGGAGTACCTCAGGGTTCCCATTTGGACCAATATTGTTCTCGCTCTTTATAAATGATGTCACGAGTACGCTAAAGGCAAGCTACGTTTCCTTGTTTGCAGACAACTTGAAGCTCTCGAAAGTCATATCAACTCATTTGGACTCATTACTCCTACAAGACGACCTTGAAAGACTAGTGGAATGGTGTAATGCAAATCGTATGAGGTTGATTCCCAAAAAATGTTTCGATATCAAGTTTACTAAGAAAAAGAAGCCTTGCACTACTTCCTACAGTCTTAAAGGTATTATGATCACAGAAATAGGTGAAATGGGAGATTTAGGTGTTATGTTGGAAATGAAGCTCACCTACGTTCCTCATATTAATAGGATTGTGAAGAACGCTGGTTTCCTTTCACCAGAAGCTTTCAAATAATCACTAAAATTTTACTCTTTAACACCCTAGTAAGAAGCCAACTAGAATATGGAACCCAACATACGCAGTGGGCTCGCAAAGAATAGAAGATATTCAGAAAGCCTTTACAAGACATCTTGCATTCATATGTAGTGTAATTTCACATAGTGTCCCTACGAACAGCGATTGGTATTTTTTTAAATACAGAGGGTATTAAAAAGCTAGAGATAAATTCACGACCTGCTGCTATTATATAAAATATTGGGTCCTTACATATGAAATCAGCGTTTTGTCGTACTGACCACTTCGATCTGAAATATCTCCTCTTTAGTTTAAAAGTTCCAAATTCGAATTTACAAATTCATTTAGCTGGTACATTTGAGTTTTGAAAACAGTCATTCATTTGTTTTTTCCTCATTATTTTTTTCTTTGGCGTCGCTTATTATCGGTATATTTACGAGTATGAGTTCTACCGTGGCCCCAGTGCTGCAGAAACAGCTCTAGGGATTAATGGTGTGTACGGCGCACTGGTGTCGCATAAGAAACCACCGTACGTTTTTGGTTTCAACGTTTTCGTTCTGCAAATTTCGACCTTCAGAACCAACCCCGTGGACGGCCGGAGACCAAAGTGGAAAATGAAGAATTAAAGGTTATTGTAGAAGGGGATCCATCGCAAAGCACTTCAGAGATAGCTGCAGGCTTCGGGGTAAGTGATAAAACTATATTAATCCACTTGAAGCAAATCGGGAAAGTAAAAAAACTTGAACGATGAATTGAGTGAACCGAACTTGCAAACACGCGTCGACTGCTGTGTTACTTTGCTCAACCGACACAAAAATGAAGGGATTTTAAATCGAATCATTACTTGTGATGAAAAATGACTACAGTACGATAACGGGAAGCGCTCGTCGCAATGGCTGAACGCTAGAGACCTAGCCAAATTCTGCCCTAAACGAAAGTTGACTCAGAAAAATTTACTTGTGAGTATTTGGTGGACTAGCGCCGGTATCGTTCACTACAGCTTTTTAAAATTTGGCCAAATAATTACTGCAAATATCTACTGTCAGCAACTGCAAACCATGAAAGAAGAACAAGCTGCTAAACACCCGAGATTGGTCAATCGCTCTAGGTCACTGCTGCTTCACGACAACGCAAGACCACACACTGCACAACAAACAACGACTAAGTTAGATGAGCTATAATTGGAATGTCTGTGTCATCCACCGTCTGGATCTTGCTTCAACAGGTTACCATTTTTTCCGGAATTTGGACTTCTTACAGGGAAAAAAATTCAAGTCCGATGCGGCAGTCCAAACCACCTTCAAAGAGTTTATTGATTCTCGCCCCCATGGTTTTTTTAGTAAAGGGATCAATGAACTATCTATGTGATGGCAAAAGTGCATAAATAACAACGGTGCATACTTTGATTAATTAAATATATTTTTAAAAAAAAAATTGACTCTAAATTCCTCGTGTACAGTACGCGAATTTCATATGTAAGGACCTGTTAGTAAACGTACGTACTGTCTGTTGGGAACTATTACAATATTTCTCCCCAAATGTACCATACAATATCCCTCGTCGTCCAACAACAAAACTTTTACACACCCCTCAATCCAGGATTAACATGGGATCATATCTCCAGTACCGCGAATGTGTGACACCTATAATTCACTCTGTAGTGTGTTGTCTAACTGTCCACGATATTTTACATGATACTTTTTCTAAATATAGGATTAATAAATAGAGGAATATGGATCTCTATTAAATGATTTTTGAATGATTTAATTATAATCAAATATCCATGTTGCTGACTGCTTCCGCTTCGCTATATGCATGTTTTTATTGTCTTAATTATATATTATCTAATGTAACTTTGGTCTTTGGTAAATTTTTATAGTATTTTGTAATTCTGTGTGATTAAGCCTATTTTCAATAAAAATGTAGTAATGTGTGCGCTGCAATCTATGAATACATAAATTAATAAATAAGTCCAACATATGTAGCTATCTATTATATTCCAGTATATTACCTTTCAGGAAACTGAGACGGGCGTAGGTAACAAATCGGAGCCGCTAGATTTGGGGAATCTGCCATACAATGAGGCCAAACAACTGTGCACCACTTATCAGGTGATGATTTTGTCTTGGTAAATTATAAGTAACGTGGAACTATGTTCAATTTAATGTTAGTCCACGCACACTTATTCACCTAAAATCTTTGGTAATGGACTCGGACACCTGTATTTTTACCAATGTCAAGTGATAGGAAATTATCCTATAAAATCTATTGTTCCGTGTAGTGGCGGTGTAAAAATATCCACTGCTTCGTATCATCCCGTAAATGTCGTACGAGGCGACGGAGGGAACAAATCTGGAAATAGGCAGTCTTCCTAATCTATAGAAATTAATAAAATTGAAGTGTCTGTTTTTAATGTCAATATAACAGCTTTTTATTAAATTTTTGTGAACGAATATACGGTACTTATAACAAAAAAGAACAATTAAAAAAAAATTGTCTGTCAACCAGCCTGTTTGTTCCGGCTAATCTCCAAAATTGCTGGACTGATTTAGACGATTCTTTCACTTGCAGATAGCTGATATCATAAGGAGTATCTTAGTCTTCTTTTGTTTAAGAAAAAAAGAAAAAACTCGAGAAATAAAATCATAATAAATACAACTACATAGGTCGTTACATGTACTGTTGGTATATACCAACAGTATATAATATATATAAATATATATATATATATATATATAATAATTCTTTATTGACATTAGTTCACAATTTGGTAATGTATCATGTAAATGGGTAGAAACCTGAGTCTCCTAGCTACGTTATTGAGTAACCTGTATTTAGGAGATAAAGTTCCATCCCCCCTGTTGATTAGGAATACATAGTTGTATTGTTTAAATTTATTTTAGCTTTTTTATATTAAGAAGTTATAAATTTAGTTTTGGAAGAATGTGAGATAAGAGTGTGAGATAAAAGCCAATTATATATTTGAATAAAACTACGTTGTGATATATTTTCAAGATCTTTGCAAGATGTTGCATAGAAAGTAATAGCTGTATCATCTTCAAAAGAGACGATTTTTGCGTTATCAATATCAATGTGAAGATTGCACAAGTCATTAATAAAAACAAGAAATAGAGGGGCCAAGAATACTTCCCTGTGGGACACCATAGGTAACAGGGAGTTCGTTACCGATGCAGTCCGATATTTTAACCATTTGAGTGCGATTTGTAAGTTAACTTCTGAAAAAGTCTAACTGTAAACCTCTGACACCAATTTTCTCTAACTTGGCTAAAAGAGTAGAAACAGGAATTGTGTCAAAGGCTTTTGCTAGATCTATAAATATTGTTAGGTTATATATATATATATATATATATATATATATATATATATATATATATATATATATTATATATATATATATATAACTTTAATTATAGAAGACGACGTCTAATACAACGAAGTCGCAGGTCACAGCTAGAAACGGCTCCAAATAATAACTGCGGTTGTCAACCCGCTCGCAAAGCGCGGCAACTAAAAAAATCTTACGCTTTGAGATGGCGGTATAACAACTTTGTTTATGTCACGTGAAATAGACCAATGACGAACACCAGCGTTAAAGGTGGTCACGTGTGGTACTGAGATCGTTGATCCGTCCACCTAGTGTGACGATTGAAGTAAAACCTCCCTACAATGGAAGGAACCCTTAGAACTTTTGCGGGATGATAAACTATTAGGCTTGCAAGCTAACAGTCAACTTGATGGTAAGTGGCTACTGATACTGATGGATAACTGCAAACAACTTCAAACCAAAAAGGACACAGATGCGTTGTCACCTTTCAGGACGAAGACATGGTGGGAGAGCCATGCTGGTTTTAGCACGAATGCCAACGTCAGCGGAGACCCTTTTCACTGGAAACGAGGCATTTCATCTTAGTCCTCAGAGGTGACAACTCATCTGCATTGTTATTCTTAATTGCAACAAACATAAACATGTCTGTGTATTTTACGACAGGTGTAAGCAAGATTATTATACCGTCATCTATCAGAAACCATAAGGTTTCTCTAGTATTTCTCTTAACGACACTAAAGGGATGATATAGGGTGGTAGAATCTTTTACGTAATTTGGTCTGTCCGTGTTCGCCTATTGTCACCTCGATACATTTCAGGTAGCTAAAGAATGTCTGGTGGAGGCGTTCAAGAAAGCCAACCTTGGACGGTGGATGAAGAAGCCAATCGAGCAGGATAATTTCGTCTGTGACATAGAAAACCCAGATCCGAACGCTCTGTTCGCCTAGACGGGCAACATCCTACATGGCCGTAACACTGTGCAGGTTACAAGTACAAATAAATTAATAAAATATTTTCATGTAGTTTTATTTGGCTCCTCAGACGAAATAAAAACTCAAGACAGAGCCCCGCCAAACAACGCACTGAGGCCGGTAAAACTACGGCTCGCCTTGTACATACACAGTTTCACGCACACAGATATAACGAAACTACGCCTTACCTTGTCATTCGAGCTATTCCAGCGCACGGAGTGTCACTCTATAATAATTCGCAGTTTTTAAAGAAAAAATGCCGAATTGTGTTGTAAAAGGGTATAAAAACCAATCTTCCAGAAATAAAAAACAGGATGTAATCACATTTCATACGTAAGTAAACATAAAAATCCAAATTTTTAATAAATCATTTTTATTATTTGGAACATAAAACCTCCACAAGTGTTGCCACTAGTAAGCGTCACAGTAGTCCCCATTTATTCAGTAAGTTATTAATGTGACCCGAAACTTAATGTAACACGTTCATTTACCTATTTCTATTTTACTTCTAATATTCATAAAATTAATGTAAGTGTAAATAGGCATTTTTTTTTTGTTTTTCCATGTTTTATCATCACTTCAAAAATCTATATTTTTAAGGTTCCCATCCGAAATAAAGACATTAAAGTGAAGGGGATATAAGTCGAAGAGTACGCACGCGCGCGTTGGTGTGTGTGTGTGTG